GTTCAGAAAATCAAAGTCTGTTACCCCCACAAAAAAGAGAGAATCTTCTCAGCCTTCAACCAAACAGCCAAATCAAGGATCCTTAAGTTCCAGGCCTGCCAAAAGGTTCATTACGAGGAATAATTGAAGAGAATACATTAAAATAACTTTCGAACCTCCATCTCTTTTTTTTTTTTTTTTGTACCCAGCCAAACGTAAAACTTCTGTGTCCTATTCTTCAGTGAAGCATAAAGGTAAGAACATTGGCAAATATGAATGTTAATTTCTGTTTTAAAATATTATTTGTTATTATTTTTAAAATTATAAACATGATTTTAATTTGTCTTAATATCATTTTTTGTAAAGGAGATTAAAAAACCAATATATTAGAAATTTCTTGTGTTGCATGCCAAACTATGAAAGAATGTTTTAGATTTTTTGAATGGCATAAAAGTAATGAGTAAGGTAATATTAAATATTTTGTTAATCAGAGATTTTTATAAATTGTATTCATGATAATGTATTGATGGTACTGCTTAATATTTATGTTTTTCTCAGAAGTGGTTTTTGTTTGGCAACTTATTTTACTGCATCAAAACATATTTTAAGATAATATTTAAGGACCATAAAAAATATATGTATATATGTATAAATATATATATGTGATTTCAATAAAATGTAAAAATAAAATACCTTATTTTTGCCACAGCATTAAACTAAAGAAATTTAGAATTCAATAATGTCACCCTAACCTGTCTGGAGTTGAATGTTACCTTATTTCATAATAATTAATATAAAGTAATAAAGATTTTAAAGGAAATTTAAAAGCAAATCTTTCTTTGTATCCCGTATCTAGAAATTTAAAAAGATCGTGGAAACATAAGAAAAAACCATTGTTTAGTTTAAAATGTGTAGATATATTTTTAAAACAGCAATTTTTAGCATTTTTCATCTTGAACTGCTACATTCATTTTTGTTTACTGACAGGAACTTTTTGCAAAAAGTGATACTACATGAATACTTAACTGCATAATAACTATTCTAATGACAGCCAGACTGCAGTTGCATATTTCAATAGAAAATAAATTAACTAAAAAAATTACTACAAACTTTCAGAAATTACAACTCCTCCCTCAACTCCCCAACTAACTAAATCTCCAATGATCTGCTATAGAACAAATACATATTTTGTATGATAGTGCTAAAATGGTACTCTATAACATACATTAATATTATTGGGCTCTAATCTTTGTTTAATACCGAAAAAAAAAAAATTTTTACTCTTCACGTCGTATATAATTACGTTATCGGCGAATTTTCACATTCATATACTAGTACATATGCTTTAAATGATGTCATAAAGTTTCGTGAAAACTCAACAGTAGTTTTCAACATCAAATGTTAAATGGCCATTTCTCCAAAACCGCCTCCCAAATCATCTTCAAACATTGCAAATCAGTTAATGGATTCCCGGATAAGATATGAGTAAATTATTTGTGGTATTATTGTTTTTTTCAGAACATTACACAAATGTATTTTTAAATAAGGTCAGCCGTTAATATACACATTTCCAGCAATTGTTAACACTTGCATTTAGATGGATGTGGTTTTAATCGACTTTTCTAATGCAGTCTTTTCGAAAATCAACAAGTATCTTATGAAGAAGACCTTCATATTTCCCATGTAAAATAAGACAATTGCCAAATTTTCTTAAAAACCTCCAAATTTTCCAATGAAAAATGTCCAGTTTGGACAATGTTTTACTCTTAACACTCATGAAGTAATAATTCGGTTCTACTAATATAAAACCGAAAAATGCAGAAAAAAAAAAAAAAATGTACATGATCTTAATGAAAACAGAATAAAAAGTAGAGAGAAGTGTAGAGAAAACAAATTGCTTGAAGGAAAAATATCTATCTTAATTTTTAAGTATAGAAGATTCCGAAAAAATTCCAACTTTTTGAAAGTTCGAAATTTAGAGTTAACTTTAAAATCGTACCTATGAAACCTTTAAAGTGTATTTGATTCCATTCTTGAAAAAAAATTGCTGAGCAGATTTTTAAAAAAGTAAATGTAACGTAAATATCCCAAAGAGCTTCATGCCACAATACCCCAAAAAATAATGAATGTTTTCAACACTCTCAAATCTTTGGACCGATCGACAAGGTTTCTCATTTGCTTCAGGCGCTAGTGGTGTTAATGGAACGGACGTTTGCTGTCAATTGTTTTTCGTATATCTCACGAAAACCAGGATTCTGGCCTATGTGTTTGAAGATTTTTTTCTTAATTTAGCAACTGGATTTATCCACATGTTTCGTTATCATGCTGCGGGCCAATAGAATTTTTTTCTGAACGCGTTCTTTCAGTGCAGCATGACATGAGAGATACGTATTGAATGACCGAGAAAGCTTAAAAGTTAATACAAATCCCTGTGATCATTCAACACTCATAAATATTATTCTCGCGCAAAAGATTGTTCTATTTGCCCTAGTACAAAGATTATGTCACTAGTGACGAGCACTCATATTGTTAGCTCGTGAATATGCTTTTCCTTTGATCAACTTACCTCTCAGCTATACAGATCCTGCGTACACAACAAATGTATTGTAATCATATTTTATTATATTTTGTTCCATGAATCCATCACTATTTAATACTCAATACCTATTCTTTAGTTATCTATAATTATCCTCTGTCTTCTT